ATGCCTGACTCCTTCGCAGAAGAGGTTTACATCGGCTTCTGACCAGGCGCCTTAGACACGCTAGTCTCGGCCCGCAGTGTCACATTTGATGTTGACCTTACTCGGACAGTTGAAAACTCGGACAGTTGATATTTCGATATTTTTTTTAATAATTTAAAAACTCGGACAAATGAAAACTCGGACAACTGATTTTTCAAATATTTTGTAATTTTTAACAAACTCGGACAGTTGAAAACTCGGACAAATGAACCTCACCCATTGTCATCAAATAGCAAAACCATTAACTGTGTCGGTTAGTATTACAATTAGCAGTGCTGCAGCCTAGTGCTGCAAGCTAAAAGGGGCCGCAGCGGTTTGTATAAAAACATATTTCTTAGAACGAATATTTATAATTCAACATGATTGTGGATGATGATGTCCCCACGATTGCGGGAGATGTTCACAATATCACAGTGATCTTATGGAAGGTTTACCCAAGGGGTGGGAGCCCCTCAGGACAATTTGTCCTAGAGCTGCAATACCTTAAATCTAGCACTGATTTAATTGAGAATTAATTTATTTACAACCAATAAAAATAAGTTACTAGCACTTTAGTACCATACATATAGTATCATATTAGAGTTTTCAAAGTGGTTTCTTTCCAACCCAAAATAGTTATTTTTTTAACTTTGAGGATATATAGGTTGAAAAATATCTATAGAAATAAAACATGTTCTAATTTTAATTTAGTTTTATATTTTAGACCCTAAGTTGCTATTTTAATTAAAAGTGCTTTATTGGTTAACAAACACATAAGTGATTTTTGTTAACTTTGCAATGGTGTTCCACTAATTAATGTACAGTTTTTATGTTAGTGTGGTAATGAACTGTATTAGGCGATAACTGAAATATTTTAAAGTCCTCATTAAAATCATGTTTCCTACAATACTACTAATAAATTATTGATGATAGTGAAAAATGTGTTTGGGTTTTTGAGAATGAGGAAAAATATCTATAACCTACTATGAAATTAATGTTGCAGATTTGAAAGAATTACAACACATGTTAGTGCTTAATTTAGGACATAAAATGTTGAATAAAAAGGTGGTCAGATTTAAAAATCAATCCTTAGCATATAACAAGTTGCGGCTCCAGGAATATTTTTTTTAGTAGGCCTGACAAGTATCAAGAAGGAGTTTGAACGGGGACGAGAGGTTTGAGGGGCTTTGTGGGGCAAAAAGGGGGAATTTTAAAATTTAAATGCAAAGTAATGAGGTTTAATGCTTTCCCTTTATTTAAATATAATTTAATTTCTTTATTTGTTTATGATTTTGAAATGTCCACCAAAATTTTGGGTAGGCCCTGGCCTTACCCTCTGGAGCCGCCCCTGCATATAAAGTTTTAATTTTGATATAAAATGTTTGTTCGTGCCAAGGATTCTTTGAGGTGACCTAAAAGAACAGAAACACAAATCTCATGGGAAGCTCATGTATATGTTATGTTTTTCGTCAAGCACATGACATATTGACTTGTTGCAAGCCAACTCATGAAAAATTAATAGTATTGCAGCAAAAAGTTGCCCCCCTCAACCTGAAAACATTCAAGCATACCCTCTACGCTGCTACATAATACAGACAGAGTTATAATACTACTGATAAGTAAACAAAATTACTGGTACTAGTTAAATAAGTTTTTTTTATTAGCTGGTTCAATTAATATAAATATATATGATTTCAACAGTTTTGAGCAAAAAATAGTTTAAGTTTTTGCAAATAAAATAATATACGCAAACACTGACTATTGGATAAAGTTTTAGTTAAAGATCCAGTTTTAAGTACCAGTACTAGTTATGACAGACTTAAGAGTACATATTATTGTTGTTTTTTTTACATAGTTATAGAACACCTCCTCGGTTTAATATAGTCTGATACTTAGCAAACCCTGAAAAATTTTCTCTTTAGCGAATTTCCCTATAGGGAAGTAGCTATTACCGTAGGTCTCATGGTAAGACTTAGGCCCGGGACCGATTTACTTTTTCATTTTAATGTCCCCAGAGGCCAAAAACACCATTCGTTCAAATTTTTATATATATATATAGATTTATATATATATATATGTGTCCGTGAACACGATAACTTGAGTAATTTTTATCAGATTTTGATGAAATTTGGTTTGAAGGTGTAAGGCGGGATGAACTTGAATGAGTTCGCAATCCAGCATGATCGGTCCATGGGAACAGGGTTTTAGGGGGGGTTTTATGAGGTAAAAATTGGTTTTTCTCACTTTTTACCCTCAAAACACAAAATTTCCCAATTTTTCTCTAAACCTTCTTAAAGAGCTTAAAAAAACAAACAATTCAGTATATCAAAGTGTTTTAGTACGGTTATTGGTTACGGAGAAAACTAAAAAAATTGTAAATTTAAAATTCCCATGTTATTCTTATGGAGAATATTGTAAAATGTTGTAGTTTGCTTGTTTATGGATATATTTTGATCAAACTTGGCAAATTTATTTATTTTATAGTAAGCTATCAATATTTTACTAAAAACACACTACTTTATTAGTTTCCTTGTAGCAGCAGACCTAGGTACTCGTTAAACCTAATGTTATTTAAATAGATAAATTGAAAATCAATTCGGCCAAATGGAAATTCGCTTAGACGGCAGGTTTGCTGCGGCGGGGGTATTTTATATATATCACATCGGAAAATGTAATGTACGCAATATTATATTATACTTTAAGGTACGGTAATGGAATTTAGTTAAAATCACTTCCAGAGTGTAACGCAGTAAGATTCCAACATCAAATTTGTTTAAATACTAATAAAACATCTATAGAAAGCCCAAGACAGGAGAATAGTAAGTAAAAATAAGCATATAAATTATGTCAGTTAGAAACTTACAAACACATGATCAAATCATCCCAACGTCTATACGTCTAATAATTAAACTTGCTATTACCAGGTTTAAATAGTTATTGCCATATCAAGAATAGGGAACATATATCATGTACATGCAGATTTCATATTAAATGATAATTGTTCTCTTAGTTTGAATATTCAACTACTTTTTCTAAAACTGCTGATGGCTAGCAGTATTTCAAGTAGGGTAAGGAAAGTAGGACAACCCACGCAAAAGCTCTATTTTGATCATCCCTCCTCTAGCAATAAGACATGCCATGGTTATTATATTTTCTCCGAAAAAGTTTTGTTTAAGTTGAGATAGCTAATACTAAAACCAACACTTGGTCAATACATTATATTTAAAAAAATATATTTATTAGGGTTGAATGTGGATTTGACATTTATTTTAGGATTATATTTGCAGAAAACTATCTAGATATTACCGATGATTATAGAAGTACATAAAAATGGCAACATCTTAAATAGGGTGCAGAAAATGTTACCAAAGACTATGTAGGCTACAGGCTACAGATCTACAGGGGATGATATCACTGTGATGCTGAGATAGAGTATTGATGTATTTGCAATCACAGATATGGTCAACGTTGCCACATTCCTAAGCCTTCGCTTTTTCAATTGCAACAGAAGATTTAAATTCTTAGTGATTGGATTTTATGGCGGAGTCACAGATAAGAATTTTTCTGAGGCCTAGTCTAGTTACCTTTATTGATTTTTTATAAATTAAAATGCATACAAATAACATAGGTTCATTTTATTGTTAGAATAGTTACAAAACTTAATTATTAAAAAAAATTGTATCATAATAATATTTAAATTACCTCAAGCATGAATTTGAAAAATAATACCATTGAGTTCCATATTTAATCGGTCCTACAGATAGTTTTCTTGTTTTACTGATAGTAACAGCTACTCATCATCAAATTAGTAAAACTGGTTAGCCATTTGAACTTTTTGTAAGAAAGAGAACTAAACTAAAACCGAGCCCTAAAGCCATTAATAATGTTATTCACATATCCTAAAATAAATTTGTATATTACACAAAAATTAACACAGTATTAAAATAGAAAAAAATATTTTAGTTCCTTGATTTTATAAACTTTAGAAACCCTTCTTATAGGTCTAAATTCTTGAAAATTTACTTTCTCTAAAACTTTTTGCCATATATTAAAAAAAGAAGCTTTCTATTATCATTTATCAAAGAAGGTTGTCCATCCAGTATGTGTACTTGAGAAAACTATTATTGCAAGAGAGACTATTATTGCCAGTCTTCATGACTTTCTATATTGGAGGACCTTCAAGATGGACGCAGAACAACTGGGTTACAGCCAAGAGGGCCAGCAGAGAGAGGCAGGGGAGCAGAGAATATTTTTTTTACATTGGTAAATAATAACACTGTTGCAAATGAAATACAGGATATGAGGGTAAAGAATTATAGTGTTTTAATTATTTTACGGTTATGTAATACATATTACCAAGACCTCCTACTTTTACATCCCTACAGGGTCAGAAAAGCTTGTGGACGGAGAGGGCTGTGTTATTTGCTAAAATGTTAGGCAACCCTTATTTCACTCGCCCCACCACCATACTAGCAGTGGTTCCCGGTACACGTGTTCCTAGATGATTAAACTATTTAACTATTGTCTCAGAAGTCGTGTGTGCCAATTGACGAGACGGCATTATGCACTGTGTTTAGTTTTTTTGTAATTATTGTGGAGAGCAAAAATTTATTCAGTGTGTTGTATTGGCTTATCATTATGATGGAATCAATGATGTAGTCTTGCATATTGAACTGTTAGAGAAACACAGTGATTTGATCAAATTTGTAGAGGTTGCAACATTTTCAAGATAGATCCAAGTCATTGATGCTTCCGGACCATGAGGAAAGAAGTCCTGCGCTCTACCAATAGATCTCTAAATTTGTAATGAGTCAATGCCTTGTGGGCTGTAATAAATGTTGCCACAAATGTATCCAATGGGTCAACAATTCTAACTTATTGAAGAAGCTGAATACTTAAACAAGTCCATATCAATACCCGTATAGTAATAACTAATTTATCACTTACATCTACAACAATAAAATCAGCTGATGATTACTTACCTATCGGGTCATGTGGTGCATAGTGTTGTGAAAGGCATTCATTGGATTACACACTGCAACAAAAACACAATGGGATCAGTATGCAAAGTTAGCTAAATACATATATTGTAGCGAAACCAATTAATAAACCATTGATTATAAACTTTAAATACTACAAATATGAGTAAATGTAACATATTAGAGGTTAACCATCGTATGTGGAGGTGAGACGGTGTGTCATTGAATCACATAGTTAACAACTGCCCTTTGATGGCCTTCCCAGGTGGAATGCAGAGTCTTCATGGTTGATCAACGGTGAACTGCAATGAAGCTTTGCAATGAAGCGCCTTTCATTGAGCTTTGTCACAGGATGATTTGTTTTTGTTTATTTTATTTAAATATAATTATTGTAAGTGGGCTACCTACGTTGTAATTAAGGTTTTTTTTACAAGTTAATATTGAGATCGGCCTGAATACATTTTTACTAAGTTTCCTAACTAACATCAGAGACTGACGATAATTGTAAAGGAATTAATTCTTATCTTATGAAAGAAAAGATATAAATAGTGAAGGGCAGGTAAATGCACAGACTCTACCTAATAGAAAATATACTCAATTTACACTTTGTTTAAAAGGATATTAATATTTAATACCATAAAGAATATTATAATATATTTTTTAAGATTGTATAACATGACAGATGCTAGCCTATATGAAAATTAATTTATATGTTTCAATAGATGGATTAGATTTAATATGCGATACAGATACCTAAAATTACTGTGACATACAGTTTTGTGCGCATTTCAGTTGACCCCAATGGTATTATAACTAGGCATATTAAATTCTACATACTGCAAACATATTTTTCATTGTTCAGCATAGAGCTTATCAAATGTATAAATACAGAATTTGAAACCATTATTAAACAGTAAAAAACAAAACACTAAACTAAACACCTGATGGAGCGGTACCTCACTATAGCCTCGAACCAAGCTTCAATGTTCCTGTGTGGCATATATCTGCTGTCGATGCTGAGGAAAAATTGCTGAAGCTCAACACTTCGAAGGGTTCTGGTCCTGACAACATCCCCCTGGTTGTTCTCCGGTTCTGCGGATCAGCACTTGCTAACCACCTATATATCTATTTTAGCAACTTCTGCGAGCTGGCATCTTTCCTGATTCATTGAAGCATGGTTTTCTTGTCCCCATTTTAAAATCAGGCTTAGCATCTGATGTAACGAATAACAGACCAATTGTGAACCAGTCTGTGTTGGCTAAATATTTGAAAGTCTAGTCCTTGATGAACTCTCCTTCACTTTCAAGAGTTACTTCATATCTGAGCAACACGGGTTTTGCCCTGGAAGGTCTACAGTTACAAACCTGTGTGTTTTCTCGAACTTCATGACATCAGCCTTCACACGTCTACATCAGGCCGATTGTTTTTACCTGGATTGTGCTATGGCATTCGATCAAGTTAGCCATCCTCACCTCATTTCATTACTAAGCTTGAGGCTCTCTGTATAACTGGTCCTCTTCTTACTTGGATTTGGAGCTACCTTACGGGAAGAACCTTACATGTGAAATTTTCTTCCTGTTGATCAAGTACAAGTGACATCAGGTGTGCCTACAGGTTCCTTGTTAGGACTGTTCCTGTTCTGTATCTTTATTAATGATATTGCGAAGCCTCTTCCATACAAGTTCCTCCTTTTAGCAAATTTCCCATATAGGGAATAAGCTATTACCGTAGGTCTCATGGTAAGACCTAGACCCGGGACCAATTTACATTTTCAGGCCCCTAGAGGCCAAAAACACCATCCGTTCAAATATATATATATATATGTGTGTGTATGTGTCTGTTAGCGCGATAACTCAAGCAAAAATGATCCGATTTTGATGAAATTTGTTACAATGGTGTAAACCTACGTTTATTCAAACGAGTTCGCGAACCAGCATAATTGGACTATAGGAACGGGGATTTATGAGGGGTTTTATGGGGTGAAAATTGATTTTTCCCATTTTTGACCCTAAAAACTTAAAATTTCTAAATTTCACTTTTGACCATTTTGAAGAGCTTAAAAAAACAAATAATTTAGTATATTTAAGTGTTTTTGTATGTTCATTGACTACGGAGAAAATTCAGAAATTGTAAATTTAAAATTCCCATGTTATTCTTATGGAGAATAAATAAAATGTTGTAGTTTGCTTGTTTATCGATATATCTTAATCAAATTTGGCAATCTGGTTTATTTCAAACTAAGCTATCAATATAAAAAAAAAAAAAACACCTCAATATCTTCCCCGTAGCAGCAAACCTAACTACTCACTAAAATTAATGTTATTTAAATAGGAAATAAATCTGACAATTTTTAAGGAATATTTTAGTACAAATCAAGCCGGGTAAATGGAAATTTGCTTAGTCTGCAGGTTTGCAGCGACGGGGGTATTTGCTTTTTAACATGATCTCAGGAGAATTGAAGATTGGTGGTGAAAATTCCATATAGCTGAATGCAAAAAAATGTCAGGTGATGACTTTTGGAAGAACCAAAACGCTGCTGTCCTTCAACTACTGTCTTCACAGCGCGCCACTGGATAGAACCCTTTCGATTAAGGATCTTGGAGTTCATGTGACACCATGTTTGAACCCTGGACTTCATATTGCTAAAATTTGTTCCTAAGCTAATTCTGTTCTTGGGTTAAAAGCCCGGTCTTCTAGATATTCTCTTTCTACAGCGTCAGTGAGGGTCTTGTATAACTCTCTTGTCCGTCCCATTTTGGATTATGCTTCTCCTGTGTGGTCTCCTCATCAGGTTGGCCACTGTAACTCCCTGAACATGGTGCAGAGACGCTTTTTCCGACTGATTCGTGTTCGAGATAGTATTAACTACCTTGACGTGAATGTCCACGAGATCGCAGTGCACCACCTTGTGCTTTCACTCACATCACGGAGAGCCGCTTTTGACCTTTTACTGCTCTTCAAGATCATCAATAGGATCAGATAGTACACAGATAGGATAGGATAGGATCATATGTAGGTGGACAGTCCTGAACTACTCCATCTGATTGACTTCCATGTCCCGTTCTTCACCCGGAGATCTCAACCCTTCTCCAAGCATCACCAGCCAACTGCCTACGCTTATCATAGCACAGTCCCTCGTTTACATCGTCTGGGGAATGCAGTCCAACTTGAGTTCTTCGGGTCTTCCCTGCCACTCTTTAAGAGATTAGTGTTTTCGTGGGCTGCTGGCCAGATCCAGCTTTAGTCAATGTGCTTTCAGTGGTGCCTCTACAGAGGCACACTTTCAGTGCCATGTGCAGTGAAGTGAGCTAGTTTTTGGTGGTGTTTCTAAAGGGGCACATAATCAGTGAGAGCAAGTGATGCAATGTTGATAACATTATACTTGTATAATTCCGTCAATTTAAGTTTTTCTTTTTTCTCTTAAAGTAGGCCTATTTATCACTGTTATTGTTATTAAAATACTTATAAGTTAATCCATGTTATTCATTTTTAAATCTCTATCAAGTGTTGTTTCTCTTTGTCATTATTGTATGTCTTTTTAATGTATATCTTTCTATTTTAATATTTGTAATCTACTGTAATCTTTCTATTGTATATCTTCCTAGCTTCTCTTAATTTTATTTTTAGTCAAATTAATTAAGCCACGCAAGTTGCATATTAGGCCTATATCTATATCATCAAGTTTAGATTTTTACATGAAACTCTAAATATAAAATGGTTATTGTTGTGTATAAATTAATAAATACGGTAAACAAAAACTAAAGTAAACAGTAGTGGGATAACCATTAGTAAAGACTAACTTAACTTTTGTAATTTAACTTTTAAAAAGGTAAAATTGACAAATTTCCAATAACAGAGGATTTATTTGAGTTAATAAACTTGGTTCAGAGGATTTCCAGGAACGAGTACCTTGTTAACAATTCATTTGCTATTTTAATGGAAGTTTAATAAAATACACTACAAAACTTTTCAGCTAATGATAAATAAAATGCAGAGCTAACGACCAAAGTTTCTTAGTTGCAAAGGGAGAGCCGATTTTAACAATTAACCCCTTTGTAATCTCTTGTGGGCCTGCAGTATAAAGCCCAATTAAAAACCAGGAAAAACAGAAGCATTCTTGCTTCACAATTGTTATTTAAATAGTCTTGAATATCTCTATTAGTGAATAAGACACAGAAAAAGCAAGCCATGAAGACTAGACAGATTACTCATTTATAAACATGGTTAGACATGAATATTGCTTAAGAAATATTCATAGTTTCAGGCAATATCTATTATAATGGAAATATTCAACCATGGCCTACTTAGTTAGTAGCTCCGTCAATAAGTTTATGGTTCAATAAAACATGTATGAATAATTTTTACTTGGACTTATTTGGACTTACTTGGAGTATTATTGACTTATTTAGGTACTAATGTAAAATACGGTACAGTTTTTGAATCACGTATATAGGCATAGCCTATAATAGTTTTTAGTTCTACATACTAATCAGTCATATAGCCTAATAACACAAATCTTCCAACCAGAATTTAGCTGATCCTAGGCTGATATAAACCTAGTGATCTGTGGTTGACCCAAAGACAGTAAGGTAAATTTACAAGCCATCGGTAACTACGGCGAAAAGCTACATACACTGCAAGAGACTGGCCTCAAACCAGCAATGCCCTGTTAATCAATCCAAGTCGGTAAAGCTAAGCTTGAATTTGATATATAATTACATACTTCTGGCTCAATAAGGGTATCCTAAGCTTAGTAATTTTCTCCAGTTTTATCTAATTCAGTAAAATCCAACTAACTCCAAAATGTGCACCAGAAGAGTACCAAGTTGGGGAAATGCTGGATTATGAGGAAAAGGGCCAAAAATTTAAACTGATACATAATATAGGCTAGTAATTTTTCCTTTTACTTCTCATACACAACACCATGCCACTGAAGGGCATAAATTTAATTTGAGAAGAAAATACATCAGGTTATAGTACTGCCTCATAGACTAACTAATACACTGACTGACAAGTAGCCTACGTGTGACTAACATGTAGCCTACTGGTCTCAATT